GTCAAATCTTTGCTATTGCAATTTGTGAAATAAATGATAACGAGTCAACTAACGATATCGACTACGCTTTTTTATTTTTAAGATCTTGTCTTGCTTTATATCAATTTTGTTATTCAAAGCGTCTATCTAGCAATCAATTATATTTTTCAAGTTAATAGGCAAAACACTAAACATTGGTTAGAATCGTCATAACTCCAATAATGAGTCGACTGAAGAATTCGTCCTTTGGACTTATTTGTGGACCTTGTCTTGCTGATCATTTTTGCTTTTTAAAACTTCTATCTATCTATTGTAATTTTCAAGATAATAACAAAAATAGAAATAAAGGTAAATTCGTCATTTAAGGGCAATAACTCCTATACCAAGTCGTATGACAGTTTTGACTTAAAGGGACAAACGTAGACAAAACTTGCATTTTACCCCTATGTTCTACTTCGATCCATCTTGGTTGGCGAAGGGGTAATAGGACATATTTTTTAAACGCAATACCCAAATGATGGTTGTGGCCAAGTTTGGTTAAATTCGGCCCAGTAGTTTCAGAGAAGAAGATTTTTGAAAAGTTAATAGACGACAACGGACGACGGACGCCAAGTGATGAGAAAAGCTCACTTGGCCCTTTGGACCAGTTGAGCTAAAAACGATGAGCTTATAAACCAAAAAGGACAAACGTATAGGCAAAGAATCATAGCTTAGCACGAGGGAGATATATTTCTCAATTTTGAATAATAACAGCAAATTATAATAACAAAATATCTGTATTTTTTTTTATACCAGTACCGAAGTACTTGCTACTGGGCTGCTGATACGCTCGTTAATTAACTGTCTACAAAAAGAGGTATCAATCCAGTGGTAGTAATATCCTTAACGGTACCAATTTTACTGCACCAAATGTGCGTTTTAAAAGAGCTTTCTTACATTTTGACGAAAGGTACGAACGAACGTAGAGGGAGCATGTATGACATTTCCACGATAACACTGGGAGTCAATGTTTTATCCGGTAAAACCGCATTAAATAAATACGTTACTTATGTTAACCATGATTACACACATTTGCGCGGGAATTGTTCAAGCATGCGTTTCATAATTAACATTTTAATGAAATTATTGACGTATGATACTCTAAATTTAAGTTATAACTACAAGAAACTTCATTGTGTGTGTGTGTTATCTAGGGTTATTAGTCGATTTTTAGTCTGCCCTTCCACGAAATATTTGATTAAAATTTTTTTTTTAAATATTTTTGAACTTTCAAAAATTCCCCCTGACAACCGATCAGGCAATAGTTTTAAGTTGACCAAATGCATAAAAGTACATTAAACTCAATGGCTAGTACATTTTTCTTTTAAAATACAACAGGCATATAAGGATCGTAATGATGCTATGTGGATAAATTTATCGGTTTTCAAGAGCTAAATTGACAGCGCATCATCACTACAATGGCTTCCATTTTTACGATTATAAAAATTAGTTGGCGTAATGGGGAGATAATTTTTGACGAAGTAGAATCCTGACTGAAGGCGAAGATCTATCATAGGAGGCTTGGAATATGTCTGCCGAATAGAGACATTCGGGTGTGCCCCACTCCTAAATCTGACATTGAACACTCTAATTATAGATCAACTAATTATAGATATTGTTTAATTCATTTCCATACACATTTTAACACCTAAATGTATATCAAGAAAATAAATCCACAATCTTGCACTATATATATTCTGGATTTAATAATGACGATTAAACAGTAAATATGCTTTGAAGATTTATCATTATTGGTCGCTTAACTTCCAGTGTCAAATATTTCATGAATGTTCAGGACGAAAACGCAATTATACGCTGAAAGAACGATTCCATATGTGAGCCTAACTCGAGTGAATAGACACACAACAAGGCAACAATGGGTATTACGCAGGAGGAGGGGGGTGGGGGGGGGGGGGGGGGGCGGGGGGCTGAGAATCTCTGTAAGTTATTATACGAGCCCCGGCATAATATATTTTGGAGGTCATTTTTTTCAATTTTACTATTTTTGGGGTTGCAAACTTTTGAATTTAGGAAGTATTGTTTTTCATTTTATCTTATGTTTTGTGTGAGGGGGAAGCCAATTTATTTGCCTTGGTATTTTTTTATGTTAGATAATGCAAAGTTGTAATTTTTTTTGGGGGGAAGGGTTTGAGGGGTTGAGCACAATCTTTTATTTTTAGGGGTATTTTTTTCTTCTGACGAGCCTATGTTTAGGAAATTTGTAGAGTTATCTCCTTCCCCTGGTGTTATTTTATTTTTACCTCTCGTAAGGCTCGAAATTCCTTCGTTGCAAGCAGTGTCATGGTCTTTGATAGGCAAACATTGAGGCAAAACGCCATCGAAGTTCCATGACGCTTCGATTAAGATAACATAAATATGTCAAAATAAAGGATCCCTCAAACGAGTCTTACGTATGATTCGTCAAGCGTACGTACCTTTCGTCAAATTGTAAGAAAGCTCTTTTGACAAACAAATGTCTCCTCAGTGATACTCGATGCCGATATATTTTAAATCCAAAACTTATTCAAACTAGAGGCACTAAAGAGCCTATGTCGCTCACCTAGTCCTATGTGCATCTTTAATAACTGACACTCCCAAACATTGAATAAACTAGAATAGAATTCATGACAAAAGAACTTGTATTGCTGATAATTTTTTTCTGTCTACGGGTACAGTGGTACAGTTTCTCTGTATCTTCTTTAGTTTATGCCCAAAACATAAAAGAGGGTAAACAAATTGTCATTAAAGGGCAAACACTCCTATAAAGAGTCTACTAACTATTTCTGCAAAGTTTTACTGCACCAAATGCGTATTTTGACAATAAATGTCCCTTCAGTGATGCTCGACGCCAAAATATTTAAAAATCCAAAGCTTATTCAAAAAATGATTATCTTATAAACCAAAAAGCACAAAAGTATAGCAAAAGCCGGGTTAGGAATCAGAACTTTGCACGAGCTAGATATGTTCCTCAATTTTATATAATTATAAGAATTTGTAACAGCAACTTTCAATAGCACAATATTCGTATTTTCATGCAAGTACCGAAGTACTGGCTACTGGTCTGGTGATATCCTCGGGGACAAACAGTCCACCAGCAGAGGTATCGAACCAGTGGTTATAATACATTTAACGGTACAAATTTTACAGCACCAGATGGCATTTCGACAATAAATATCTCTTCAATGATGCTCGAGGCCAAAATATTTGAAAATCCTAAACTTATTCAAAAAATTAAGTGCTCATAAACCAAAAAGCACAAAAGTATAGCCAACGTCGGGCAAGGAATCAGAGCTTTGCACGAGAGAGATATATTCTTCAATTTTAATTAATTTAAAAAATTTGTAACGGCAAATTTTAATAACACAATATCCGTATTTTCTTGCCAGTACCGAGGTACTGGCTACTGTGCTGGTGATACCCTCGGGGACTAACAGTCAACAGGCAGCGGTATCGACCCAGTGGTAGTAATATCTTAAAGGTACCAGCATTTTGACAATAAATGTCTCTTCAGTGATGCTCGAGGCCAAAACATTCTTAATCCAAATCTCATTCCAAAAATGATGAGCCAATAAACCAAAAAGCACAAAAGTATAACCAAATCCTGGCAAGGAATCAGAGCTTTGCACGATGGAGATACATTCCTTAATCTTATTTAATTTTAAATATTTTGTAACAGCAAATTTCAATAACACAAAAACCGTATGCTCATGTCAGTACCGAAGTTCTGGCTACTTGGCAGGTGATACCTTCGTGGACTAAAAGTTCTGGTGCAGAACAAAAAATAGTACCGTTAATGTTATTTTACATAATCAAAACCCAATGTTTTTGTAACAAATATGTGATAAATGCATTTATTGTTATTTTCAAACTTACTGGATAGTTTGACCACAGAGACCACTGCTGGTAAAGAGTAATATCAACCGTATAGAACATTATTCATATACATTCTGTATACTAATGTATATGGACTAGGTAAAACAAGGCCCGTTTTTGGTGTCATATTTTTAAAATTTTCAATTTTGTTTCATCTAATTATTTCATTGTTAGATAGATAACTATTTACGTTTCAACAATTTAAACAAAAAAGTACATAAAACTGTCTAGCGTCAACGAATAATGCGAAAATACTTGGGTAACTTTCAGTTTTGCATTGCTTTTGTAAATTAAATATCTTCGGCATTCTTCTACATTTTGCTATTTCTATTAATCTATGACTTTAAAAGAATTTCTATATATAAAAAAGTCAACTTTCTTTTTTAAATGAAGGCATGGAAACATTGTGTAATACAAGATCTTTCAAATCTTTTGAAAAGGGAAGATCTTGTTTTTAAGTTTGATATCGTTCAAGTCATATTCCATTACAAAAATTAATTGAAACTTTCTAAATAAAAATTAACTGTAAAGATCTCCGTTAAAAAATAATTTAATCTAACTACAGCTGCGATCATTGTTACTTCAATAATTTTTTTTAATTATGAATTAAGGCTGTCTCACTAGCGTATAACCCAGAACTCCTTTTATTCATAGATTCAGTTCCGTTTGTTGTACATGTTTTTGATGTATAATCGGTCCCAATATAGTCATAAATCTAAAAAAAAAAATCGTAATAAATTCCGTTCAGCACAAAACTTTCATCCTTTAGATATTCTGAAACTTTCATTCTTTTTGATTCAGAAATAACAAAACAGAATTATCTAGTTTTACCTATTTTGGGGATTTATCATCTATGACGTAAAAATTTTCAGGCAAGAGGGCATTTTAACTAAACAGTATATATGAAGTCTTCAAAGCACACCATAGCTGTTCATTATCAACATTATAGCGCAGTAAGAACATAGAGGTTTTGTCTATAGCACGTGTTAAAAAATTCATTAAAGAATGATTTACATTTGCAGTTAGTAAAAGAAAGCTCAAGTAATATATCTGCTAAGATTGAAACTTCTTGCTATTTTATTGTAACACGATTAATGGTTTATTCATAGGTATGGAAGGATGCAGCGGTCCAGATATTTTTCTCATTGTCTGCTTCGTGGGGAGGACTAATTGCTCTGTCAAGTTATAATCGTTTCCATAATGACTGTTTATCGTAAGTACACTGTATAAAAGATAAATTTATTTTATACATTTTCTCCTTAACAACACCTTTGTTCTTTTCGGCAATAAAGTTTATGGACAGGTTATGGGAATACTTATTGTAATCAATTATTTCTTATCTAACATTAACAATATAGAAAACACTTTTCCCGAGACGTGTCTTCCTGTGGACTTTAATATTATATTGTAAACTAGCACATAAAAAAACCGGTATACTGTGTGTGTCTGGTTCAAAGCATGCAGGTTTCATCTGATATTAACATGTTCTCGTCCTAAATTTGCACTTAACTTTTCACTGTACATTAAACAGCCCTCCGGTCATATATATACATATATTTTTTAATTATACATGTTCATGGCACACAGATGACAGGACAAAGCCACATATACCTCGTCTTCCTACGTGAGAATTTAGGTTGAGGATTTGCCCACTAATCAATTAAATTATGTTAATTCTGATTATTAGGTGACAAAATAGCTTATGCTTATTTAACATTGTCATTGGAAATGGTTTATTGTTTCGCCTGCGACGAAAGTCCGGCGGTGGCGGCGGCAACGATAACTATTTTTTTTAATAAATTTTATATTTCAGAGGGTAGAAGACCTGGAGGCTTCATACCTTGTATACGTATGCCTTATGTTACGAAGTTTCCGTCTGTCATATGTCTGTTGTCCTTGGCCTCATTTTCATGGTTCAGTGACTGCTTGAAAATAAGTCTAATTTTGTTTGTCATGTAAATTTCTCACTCAACATGAGTGATAGGCTAACTATATTTGGTATATTTGTTCCTCGCAAGGTCTACATGTCCGTCAACTGACCTCATTTCATGGATCAGTCATCAAGGTTAATCCTTTTCCTTTCACACCGGAACAGTGTACCAGTGAAGCTAATTTTAAGACATTTTTTTTTGCGTTAAGTCTTGTTTCATCGACATTCTTTGACGTACAGAAGTGGTTAAAGGCTCAAATTAGTCCTCAGAATATCAGCTTTGTGATTTAAAGTGCATCAAACTTCTATCATTATCTGTTTAAAGTCGATTTGCTTCTTACTGGCAAGTGTTTTTTTCTTTAAAAACCAATTTTTTTTCAAATTTTAACAGAATATTTTCACAAATTAGTGTATAGAATACTGTCTTTTTTGGTGTGTGTGGTTTTTTTTTGTTTTTTTTTTTTGGGGGGGGGAGGGGGATATGAATATTTTCAATAACTGTGCAGTGTGCTTTGGAAGAATAATATCAAAATAATAGTCCTTACTTGTACACTAGTTAGACATGTGATTCTTAGTGTACCAGCGCAATCACAAACTTGAAATGCACTAAAAATTCGTAGTCATTTCTTACAAATTTATTGAACAAGAAACAAAAATCACTAAAATATCCTGAAATCTTTTAGCGAAGTTGAAATAGATGTAGCAAAACATTGTTTCATAAGTGCTTGCTGATGGTAAAGTTAAAACACTTTTGTTTAGACGAAGGAACATGTATGATATGCCAATGAAAAAATGACAGACTAAGTAAATTATGGATTTATCCTATATTTGTTTAAAATCATGAATTTGTTTAGTCTGTTTCTCAGAAACTACAAGCAATAAGGTCAACTAAATTTGATGTATGAAATAGTTTCTTGGTTTGGTCTGTTTCTTGTATACTTTAAGCAATATGACAACTATATTTGGTGTATGTAATGATTGTAGGGTGTACATGTCTCTCTGGCTTGGTTTATCCGATACTGACCTCATTTTCATGGATCATTGTTAACCTTATGTGAAACTGGTAGTCAAACTTTATCTTTAGGACTATCAACTTAAAATCAATCATGCTAGTAAAGCAGGCGTGACATTTCAGCGTGTCCACTCTTTATCAAATCAGTCTCCAAACCCTAATGAAAAACTTTAAAGAAAAAAAAAGATGTTTGTTTTATATATATAAACGTTATTGATATCTGTTATAACTCACATTAAATCAAAAGTGTTTCATCTTTCCCAAATTCCCTATTATTTCATGTAAAAAACACATGTTTTAAAACATTGTCAATAATTAATTTGATGTCTGATTTGATTGAAATTTTGAATGTTAAACCACAAATGTGTACAGTTGTTATGGTTATTACAAAACAATTTTATGACATGTCATTACTGAGAAACCATTATCTGTAAAGGAATATTGAAATTAAGTGTATTTTTTTCCTTTTTAGCCGTACACATTTTTCGTGCAGTAATTCATATTTGTCTTTAAACAGTAATTTCCCTAAATCTATAGATCATAAAATATATTTCATAATTATTGCAAGAAACTGCAGGCATTTCTGTAGTTAATGTGGAAAAAATTCAATTTGGAAAAGAATTTTCTTTAGCAGAATTTTCATTAAAAATTTGTTTTATATGAAATAATAGGGGAATTTCCGGTAGGTGGAACACTTTTAACCCAAGACTGGCAGTATGCTTATGTCATAATTCAATCTTATTTTATTTTGATATTGCAAAAAAAAAAACCAATAAAAAAACAAACTTTGCGTTGTTTTTCGGAACATTTAACATAATGAAATAATGCGGGGCAATCAAAATCTTTGATAAGCACCCTAAAATTGAAAAAAAAGTGGGCATTCGGTTTATTACCGATGGGACAGTGGAATAACTAAAAATAATCGTCCAGTTAACGCTATCATCTAAAATAACAGAACTTAACTCACTCGAAGATCAAACTGAAAAAATACCATTCATGTTACAATATACGGTATTGGCTTGCTTATTGTTGAAGGTCGAATTTTGACCTATAGCTGTTACATCTACGTCATTTAGTCTCTGTCGGATATATAGTTGTCTTTTTGGCAATCATACCACATCATCTTATTTTAATACTCCGTGATTAAACAGTCAACGATTTGTCAATCTATATCTGCAAAAAAATATATCTCCCCCAAAAAACCTTTAAAATAATTTAAATCAAATTAACACTTTATGAATTTGATGCGTCAGAAGCGCTCTTCCATCAAGAACGCTCAAACCAAAATAAGTGAGAAGCCAAAGGTGTAAGATAATGAACTCACGAGGAGCTATATAACTAAAAGGGGCCTAAACGTAATAGCTATCTCCATCTAAGGTCAAACGCCTAAAGAACTTGCAATGGTAATTTGGGAAATGGCAGATCACTAATTTCTTAAATTATAACTTGTAGTTTATACAAGAGATAAATAGTTTGACTAAAAATCGGTAAACATGGTGAATTCATATAAAGGTTAAATTACTGCCTGGCTTTGCCAACTGACATTTGTTGCTTTCCTTTAGAATTTAAGCTTGTTCGCCATAAACGGCAGTCACATCACAGTCGGCAAAAATGTAAGACGGAACTGAATGAATTTTCCCAAGGCGTATTGCTTGCAAATTTAAGTTAGTACGAAAAATATTATTTGATAACTCTAGAATAACCGCAAATAATATACATAAAATGAAGCATAAGAAATTACAAAACTTTGGCATCTCTCTCTCTGTATAACATTATTAGAAAACAATGTGAATAAATTAATTTATGTGTGGCAAATGATTTTTTTTATAATTTTTTTCTTGCCTTTGAATTTAATGCCTTTAAGGCTAGTTAAAATTTACAGAATCTCTTTACTGTACTTCTAGTTGTTAGAAGAATTCAATAATGTTAAAACATTTTACTTACAGATTTCTAATTTATAAATCACTTCGTATTTTCAGGGATGCAATTACAGTGGCCTTAGGTAACTGTCTGACGAGTTTTTTTGCTGGATTTGTAATCTTTTCGTATCTTGGAAACTTGGCCAGTATTTTAGATGTTCCAGTAGGTGAGGTAGCAGACAGTGGACCGTCGCTAGCTTTTGTTGTATATCCTTATGCTGTAACCAAAATTCCACCATCTCCATTCTGGGCCATAATTTTTTTCTTAATGTTGATAACACTTGGAGTTGACAGTGAGGTATGTATATGTACGCCTATTTAATTTTTTATCAGAACTGTTTACTAAAATATGATTACGAGAAAGAATGGATAAGATATGAAGAGTCCACTGTTTTTGCTTCTTCAATTCGATGATGATGATGATAATGATGATGATGATGATAATGATGATGATGATGATGATCCGATTCTTTTTTCTAAAACCACATTAAAAACGCTCTAATTTTTAAATGAAGTTTTTTTGTATATTAAAGTTACATTAATTAGTCGTCGTCGTTGTTTTAATCTGGGCAACAGTCGATATACCACCGCCCTCTAAAACATTTACATCACTGACGTCAATAATAACATATATGTAAGGGTCTTACAACATAATGGTGTATTTCTGAACATGTATCCATATTTTGCCAATGTCTAAAGATGGTTCAAAATTGCCATTTTGGTAGATTTTAGCAAGTTTGGTATAATTATCGAAAAAAATAACCAAGAAAGACTTCCTTTCCCAAAAAGAAAAAGACTATCGAAAGCAAAACGACGTTTTGTATTTGAAATGAAAATTAGTTCATGTTGCTCTTCAATACAACATATTACAAAAACATGTAAAATTTGCTATATTGTATCAAAACTTGTGTCTTCAACATCAATTCAGAGTGCTGAACATTATTTTTTCTTACAATAAATATGTTTATCATTGCTTGTCAAATCCGACAATTAAAATATTAAGACTCTTCCAGTAGGTTTTAACAACTTTCGGAATTTGATCTTTTGAAGAAACACAGAGAGGTCCCATCTCTGTATGGAATAAAATAATAATATCACTTCACCAAAATAATTATATATCTTCCCAACGCACTTGTAATTGTTGATCACCTTGTTACATGTAATTGACATTAATAAAAGTGTTTTCTATATGGTTTTAGTTTGTATTGGTAGAGACCGTGACAACTTCAACCATGGACAGATTTCCAACTTTGAGAAAGTACAAATTTGTGACCGTTCTTACAATTTGCTTGATATTCTTCCTGTTTGGTTTGACATTGACAACTAATGTAAGTTCTAACTTAAATTGCCATTTTCGTCAAAAAAAAACACACACATGATACAAACCTGTCATTTGTCAGAAACACTATGTTTTCAAATATTTTAGGCCTAGTGCAGTCCAGGGTAGCCAAAGATATAACTTTGAATTCACATTTGCTAGACAATAACATGAGCTACTTTCTTTCTTTGTCGTCTTTTGTAGATCTGTACGTCATTTTTTTTAAATCTCCATTAGTGCTTCAGGGCTCACATCAGTTGACATTTGAGGTTCTGAAACCAAAACATGATGTGAGCTGGCGAATACTGCTTTTTTTCAAAAAATATTTTGATTGAAACGATATTTTTACTATTTAAAAAATCCCTACTGATAAGATTTTTAGATTTTTTAGAAAACAAAAAGTAAAGTGCACTATAAACTTTCTTTATTACGATGAATTAGTAATTATTACGAACTCAGTTGTCATCACAAAAACTAACTATCTTTGAATTAAAAAAGGGTCTTTCAACTATAAAATTTCAAAAAATAATGATTGATAAGAATCTACTTCCGGTTTACTCACAGTTACTATTGGCGTCAAATCATAGGTTTCGTCATACTGAATCCAAAAATAAATGTTTGTATATTCTTTTCCCTCATATATTGGAGATAACTTGTTACTTCTGGTAAAGAACATGTCACGTCTGGTCTCATATGATAGCTTTATTCACACTGATTCCAAAAACATATGTTTTTTTTATACTTTTGCCATAAATAAGAGATCATTTGCTACTTCGGGTAAGAAGAAAGTCACTTCCAGTCTAAAATGATAGGTTTATGCATGCAAATTAAAACAATATATGGTTTCTAGGTACTTTTCAATAAAAAAAAAATAGTGCAAACGTTGCTTCTTACGGTTTTCTTAATGTCACATCCGGTTCGTTCACTGTACCCTTTTGAATGTTTCATTTACCACATGTAGCAACTTACAATTTTGTATAATTCTTTTGTCATTATTTATAAGGGTTTCTTAGGAAAAGTGAACCATGGACCTCAAATCAAAATACCATAGCTCTCTTTCACACAGTGTGGGAACGGAACAGTACGGTTTTTAATTTTTTTGTCATTCAGGAGACTGTCAAGCGGGGCTCCGACATTCGACAAAAAACAAGTTGCTGGAAGGGAAGTTTGATGAACTCAAATGTTACTATATATAGTTTCTGCTTCAAAATTTGGGTACAAAAACATTCTACATGTAAATATGAAACAATCAAATAATAAAACGATATATGCATCCAAAAGTTTTCCTTAAGATTGAAAGAGCTCCGAGTAAATCGATCAAAATTGGCACACAACAGCGACAAAAAATACCAAAAAACAATGGAAAACCAAATTTTTACATGCTCCTTTTCTTATATATAGGCTTACCTGTCTGAAAGTTTAAAAGCCATTGTCCCAGTAGAAATTCAGGTTAATTGGAAATAGCATTCGCTATTTTTTTATGGGGGGAGAATTTTACAAATAAAAAGATATTACTTCATTGTGATAATTCAACCGTAGTGTCAATTCTTAATTCAAAAACATCCCATTCTGAACGAGTAATGTCACTTTTGAGGCCAATAGTTTTGTGGACATTAAAATACAATTTTCAATTTAAATCTATGTATTTGTCATCAGTTACCAATATAATAGCTGATTCTTTATCTCGTAGACAGTTGAAAAAATTCAAGGAAGCGACTCCAACAGCAGAAGTAGAACCTACACCAGTACCACAGGAATTCTGGGATCTCTTGATTTAGAAGCCTCCAAACTTTTTAATGCCGCTTTTTACAAATAGCACAAAAGCAGTATATGAACAGGCAGAAAAGTCTACTCACAAATTTCTTTTGGAATGTGAATTACAAATTATTTGGCCACCTAATCTTGACTACTTAATGAAATACATAGCTTATTTGTCCAAAAATAATTATGGACCATCAACTTGCAGGTCATATATATCTGGTTTAAATTTTCTTGATTATGATGTTAAGAGACTTAATACCCATTCCTTCAGAATAGGTGCAGCAACACATGCATTTTTATATGGAAAAACTGAAGAAGAAATAACAAAACATGGGTCGATGGAGGTCCTCTTCATTCAAGCAATACATTCGTATAAATTAATTAAAATCTTTCAGAAATGAGAGACATATGGATCATTGACTCATCTATAATAAAAAACTAGAGGCTCTCAAGAGCCTGTGTCGCTCACCTGACTCTACTTTGGTTTTAGAAATCATGTAAAGATAGATAAAAATCATAACAGATACCCAAATAATAATGATTGAGGCCAAATTTGGATTAATATTGGTCCCGTTATTTAATAAAATATCCTGGTGGCCATCTTTAACAGTAAATCAGCAACAAAGCAGCAACACATGGTCAGCACCTCATAAGGAACATTCATGCCATGTTTGGTTTCATTCCATTCAGTGGTAATCTAAAAGAAGACATTTGTATGTATTTCCCATAGGGTCCTATGTTAAACTAAGCCCCCCCCCCCCCACCCCTAGCGGCCATCTTGGATGATGGATCAGCTGCAAAGTAACAACACTTGGTCAGCACCTCATAAGGAACATTCATGCCATGTTTGGTTCCATTCCATTCAGTGGTTTTCTAAAAGAAGACATTTGTATGTATTTCCCATAGGGTCCTATGTTAAACTAAGTCCCCCGCTGTCAGCCATCTTGGATGATGGACCGACTGCAAAGTAACAACACTTGGTCAGCACCTCATAAGGAACATTCATGCCATGTTTGGTTTCATTCCATTCAGTGGTTCTCTAAAAGAAGACATTTGTATGTATTTCCCATAGGGTCCTATGTTAAACTAAGTCCCCCGCTGGCGGCCATCTTGGATGATGGATCGGCTGCAAAGAAACAAAACTTGGTCAACACCTCATAAGGAACATTCATGCCATGTTTGGTTCCATTCCATTCAGTGGTTCTCTAAAGGAAGACATTTTGTATGTATTTCCCGTAGGGTCCTATGTTAAACTAAGTCACCCACTGGCGGCCATCTTGGATGATGGATCGGCTACAAAGTAACAACACTTGGTCAGCACCTTATAAGGAACATTCATGCCATGTTTGGTTTCATTCCATTCAGTGGTTCTCTAAAAGAAGACATTTGTATGTATTTCCCATAGGGTCCTATGTTAAACTAAGTTCCCCGCTGGCGGCCATCTTGGATGATGGATTGGCTACAAAGTAACAACACTTGGTCAGCACCTCATAAGGAACATTCATGCCATGTTTGGTTTCATTCCATTCAGTGGTTCTTTAGAAGAAGTTCAATATGTAAAAAGTTAACGACGACGACGGACGACGGACGCCAAGTGATGAGAGCTAAAAAGGCGTCAGAACACACCGAAAACAGACCAACAGGAACAAATTTAGGCTTCGATAAAAAAGGTTACAATTCACAAATATTTCATTGACTGTACAATCGCTTGCGCTTTTACTGTACAATCAATTGGCCCTTTCCTGTACAATCACTTGGGCCTTTCCTATACTATTGCTTGGATAAATTCAAAACTTTGGTATCAAACAAACATTGAAAGGATATAAGGTGTTGATGATTATATTGTGTTAATTGTGAGATGTTGGTTTCAATGCTAAGTTGTAAATTCTGAACGTTCATATTTATAAATAAACACCATCTTTGTAAAAATAACACGACTTATTCACACTGCATGTATCATACAGACGTTACAAAGTTCACATAAAATACAAAACACACGGCATACACTCCGACAGTTCACACTATTCTAGCTATTCTGTTCATTCGTCAACAGTCCCATCTGAACATCTCTCTCCTCTCGCGTCACTTTCACACAACGTCAAATACAGGAAACAGCGTTAACACTGTATTGCATAATCACGGACATGTAGACAAATTCACAGTCACAACAGTTTATTAAATACATTTTGAATTTCAAATTGTTCAAATTTCTAGCCAAGGGAAATAACTGTTATTAAAAATAGTTCCTAAATTGATGAAATACAATAGATAGATACAGAAATAGGTCTAGGTTGGTTAAGACTTGGTCGAGTATTGTTTAGACTAGATCGAGAATGGTTTAGACACTTATAAAATGGTTAAGTTCTGGTCGAGTAAAGGTCGAGTACAAGTTCTGACTGTTCAGTATGGTTCAGACTATATTCGAGTATTATCGAGTAAATTCCAGACCAATTCAGATTGATCGAGTAAAAATCAGTACAGTCGAGTAAAGAAAGAGGCCATTTCATTTACTGGTTTGTGTAGTGTATCTTCTATCAAACATCTTTTTGGATAGGGCATTGACATATCTAAACATATTAAAGGAATAAATTTTAAAGTGAGCCTATTTTGGCAGTTATTGCAGGTTTATTCTAAATGCAAGAAGTTTGAAGCGCCCGAAAAAAAATATAAAAGAAAAAAAAAAGAATAAAAATACTTCAACTGATACCTGAATTAATGTCTAATGAACATCTGAAAGTCATTATGTTCTAATAGATTTATCCTTATTTCAGTTTCGATTGAAAATTGCCACAAAAGGTGGTCCTATTATACCTCCCCCTTTTTAGGCGAAACGTAAGGCGCTGTTCCTTAGCTTTTTGAGTGTTTTTTTGCTGTGCATGTGCTGATTTTGTGTCATGGATGGATACCCCATATCCTTTGTTTTCTATTATATAGTGACTAGGTATTATTATAACAAGAAGCTCACTTGATAAAGGCCCTGTGTGAGTTTCAGACTTCATGGATAAAGGTTGTATCTTTTTGAAACCATATATTTCTGACTGAGTTTTACAGAAAAGAATCCAGAAATGTGCAAAAGCAAATGTTTATCATAATTTGAAAACATTATAAAGAACGCTATCAAGTGCCACCGGATTGACACTGTGAAAATCGGAAGTGGCTAATTTTCTGCTTTAGGATCATTAATCTAGGGGACGTCCATGAATAACATTCTAGAAAATAGTACATATATTTAAATCAAATAGTTCCTGTAACTTTTGATATGTTAAAAATGTTTCGGTTATTTTGGTATCAACCAAAAGAATAAAGACTGGGGATCACTGTACCACCTAGAATGTTGACTGTTATTTTTAAATAATAAATAAAGCGATAAGCTTGAAACGAAAGGCATTATTTTCGCCTCCCTCTCAGATCAGAAGTATCTTTTATGTTTATAAATATATATCATTACAGGGAGGTAACTACATGTTGACAGTAATGGACGATTATTCTGGAGGCTGGAACGTGTTAGTCATAGCATTGTTGGAATGCATTTCGGTTGCTTATGTTTATGGTATGTGTCGTACTGACTTTTCTGCCACGTCTGATGACTTTTAGCGCCTGGTGTAAAACAGAGAGAAAGTTCTAGTAAATAAAGATGTTTATTGGAAATCAGTAATCAAATTGCATACAAATATTACACAATAAAATAGCAATCTCACTTGATACTAAATTTACAATTTCACAAATGAACTAAATCAAGGGGACATAACTCTATGCAAATTTTAACTATTTAAATAAAACTTGCCCAAACTCTATCTTATCTAGTGAAACAGCTTTACAAAACTTTACGTACAGGTTAATGCGTAATACAATATGTAAAATAAACCATTTCAACTAAAAGGAAACTTAATTTCAAATATTTTATATAATAACTTGTTGCTATGGAAACATGAACTTTTTAAATTAATTTAATCTTGGCATACTACATGTATCTCAATATTTAATCGCATAAAATGTAATACCAAATACAATGTATTTCTGAATAAATTGGTATGTAAAATAACTTTGCATAATGCTTAAACAGTATTTACTCTTTTGAAAAATATTAAATAAAGAATATACCCATGTTGCTAGGCAACAAATATTCACTTTAGTCATGAGTTCTGTGTGTGTGTGTGTGTAATACAATAAAATTAGCTAAATTCAATCTATTTATAAGTTCTAAAGTCAATTCAAAATGTTCAAACAATTTTGTAAACAAACTGAAATCCTGTGGAAAAGTGTCGCTTTCCAAACCCTAATTCATGAACTAAATATGCAATCTATATACAAAAAAAACCACAACTTACAGGAAAATAACGTAGAATACTATTTGATCACTGATTTCTTAACTTTCTCCTGTTTTCACTAAACAAGAGTAACCTTGTATCGCTCCCTTGACCACAACCTATTTTTCACTGGTTCGGTCAATAATCAAGTCATGGGTGACAGGTGTTATAAATAATTTCACACATGAGTAATACAAAAAGGTTGTTTAACAAAAGCCTTAATTTACATGTAAGGTACATAATCCAAGGTCAGTAATTTAGCGCTAACATGCCTCTTTGTTATCTGGCTTAATTACGTAATCTAAATATTCATGTTGTATGTCATTCTTCTTTATCAAAAATTAACATTCCAAAAATAATGTAACTTACATAAGGAGAAATTTTAGAAATAAAGTAAAAATTTAAACTTCAAAATACTTTAACCGAAATTGTAAAAATTTAATAATTTTCACTTTAGTTTGGTCTGTTATATTAAAATTTTGTCTTTGGCAATTCATAATTTTACTATAACAACTCTTCCTCAACCTCACTAAGCTTTGTCCCAAAGCTTGAATTTGAAACATCATCTGAACAGATAAAATAAGAATAATAATTATATATATATTCATGTATAAAGAATAAGTGTAATAAAATAATGTAAATTTTCATATAGAGTCAATGTTTATATATCACACTCATGTGAATGTAGTTTTGTGATCTAATGCCCATAAAATGCTTAAGTTAAGAATTAAAATATATATGGTCATAGTTGCAGATATTCAATGAGACACTTCCAAAATTGAAAAGGGTGTATGTTTATACATTTGTAACGGAGAGGCACTGAGGTATTGTATGTTTGCAAATATGCATTTAATTAGTATTGTCATTTTACAATGTGGAGGAAGATTAACACTTCACACTAAAATATGTGTGTTTTAAAATAGTACTGATGCAGTTTTCCAAATAATGAAAAATCAAGTAAACCAGGTGCTAGTGCAACAGAAAAGTCAAAGTACCAATAAATTTCATCTTAATAGACATAGGTATACAATTCAATAAATAAACATGAAAATAAACAATTCATTACATGCTCACTTCCTGCAAGCGCATGTGCTGCAATCTCTATGGTATAATGTAATCTAGAAAAATGTTTAGTATATCTGTGTTCTAAATCATACAAAAAGAAATACTCTAAACATTAATACGCTCGAAACTCCTCCACTATGGCTCTCGGTAACATTTCACTGAACACTTAACTTCATCATACATAACTATAATATTGGAATGGATTCTAGTTTCTCAGGAAACTCAATTGCTTAAATAAAAAAGTGATGATTACGGTCGAATGAGCCGTACTCTAGCACTACTGACAACAAAACACTGATTCATTCTGTTAGGTTTGACTTCACATCATAATTTGCCTATCAAATTTCTGAAATTAGAAAAAAATGTTAATCAAAGGGTCAAATAATTAAAGAATGGTCCACTGCGCAGATTCGAAACTGGAGTTCAATCCAGATTATTTAAATGTAAGTGAGTTATTTGCCATTAAAGCTTTATCTGTGTTATTCCAGTGAATTTATACAATGACCAAACACCATTGAGAAGGGAGAATACTCTGTTGATTGAGTTGAGGGAGAATTTCTAAAAGCCATTAAAATACCAGGGAGTTTAATATAAAATATGTATTAAGGCCAAACGTTTAAGTTCATCGCAGCAAAGTTTGGTTTAAGGAAGACTATATGCAGGTTACCTTTACGTAAATATTCACTTGCAAATTATTTCGAATGATAATTTTCCAAGTTAAGGTATCAGTTTAAAACATTGTTGTTACGTCATTCTATTGGGACTATCATTTACCTGTAAGAAACCATTATGTTACCTTTAACTGTCCAATATTTTAAAAAATAACCCTCCTCTTTCTAAAAAATATTGGACAGCTGACAGGTAGCATAATTGATTCTTACAGGTGAAGTTCAAGGACTGAAAAAATCCACCAGTCTCTGTCATTGTTTCTTCATTTTGACAAAAATTTACAACGGAAGAACAAATGACAATTACACAAAACATTTTCTATTAAGGTCACCTTCCAATACAATAAATTGATTTTAACACTGCCAGCGTCAATACTTATTTCACAGCCATTTTCTTATGCTTAGGATTGTCTCCTTAAGCACCAATTTGATTGACAATGTTGGTTGTAAGTTTTGTTGTTGGTACTCTTGGATTTTTCTTTTTTACACAAGATTTTTGTATCATCGTCCGTCTTTGGATATAAAAATTGGCGTCTGGTGTTGCTCTTGTTCTACCTAACATCCTTTTCAGCTGTAATTAAAATGGAAACAAAATTAAAATAATACTTCTAACGCTTGATATATCATGCCGCAATACGAGGACCACATGTAAAAAAAGGCATTATCATAATAAGGAGAAAATCGTTCATCTGAAGTAAATGTTTTACCAAGTGTTGATATGCAAGCCACGGATTGTTCCTTGAGCAAAATAGCTAATCAAGAATTTGATTAAAAACCTACACCTCACCTTGCGTTCAAAGTACAGTTCGAGAAATTGCTTCATGAACTAGGGTCTACAACAGTTTTTATCATTTTTAGGTGTTAGCGTTGATTTGCAAGTTTTTTGTTTGATAACTCTGATATTATTGCCTGTATAGGAATATAATGCAAAACTTCGCTTATCAACAAAACTTCGCTTATCAACGACGATGAATGTAAGAAATAGATTCGCACTGTGTTCGTAGTGATAATTTTTTTTAGAAACAGAATAGTAGTATATTGAAATTAGAATAAGCAAAGGGCAAGATTTAATCATATGTTTGTTAAATAAGACAGTTTGTAATAGTGTTATATAAATTAGAACATAAAACCCTTTCCTGTATTGAATTGATTGAAAATGAGGAAGTTATCAATAAAGGTATGTTTACTATGTCAAAATAAGAATTGCATTTGTTTCTTTCCAATATTTATAAACAGTTTCAAACACTTTACTTTAGGCTAGATCTCTAAAGTAAAATTGATACGCCTAATAAGAAATAAAAACCCAATAGGAAAAAGTAGGAGAGGACTATATTTTAAAATATATCTTTATCCATTTTGAGACATCAAATTGATGTGAAGGTATTCACGGAAAATATATAATGTAGTCCTATAGCTCACGCAAAAAAATCATGATACACATCAGGCATGGGGTAATGCAAATTTGTAATTGTAATGCATGGTAATGCATTACATTTTTTCAAGTAATTGCATGTAATGTGTAATGCAGCACATTTTGCATTACATGTAATTGTAATTTTATGCATTACTTTAGCAAAAAGTTGTGTAATTTCATGCATTATATATAATGTAGTCCTATAGCTCACGCAAACAAAATCATGATACACAAAAAAAATTACACATGCACTGTGTCTTCATGTGCCTATACGTGTAGTTTACCTTCAACTGTACTTTATTTTTTTCTATTGTTTAGGTAGAGGTACTGTTTAACGGTGCCAAGATGTAGGATGATATTAAATAATAAAGTTTATACAAAACAATTTACACACATGATGAAAACAAATCTTAACTAAAAAAAAGTTGTATTTGTTTACTTTTTTCATCTTCTTTGACAAGTTAAACAATGTTTTAAGTAAGATGTAAGCTTCAAACAGTTAATTCTGTAAAATATTGAACAGGTCTTCAATATTTTACAGAACGAACTGTTTTCGGCTTATATCCTTTACATGAAAATACTGTGTGGTATGATTGTCAGTGATACAACTATCCATAAAGAAAAATATATGGGAGCAAAATACCGAATAACTTGATGTAAAGAGCTCAAGACGCACTCAATTAACTAGACTTCATTTACACAAATGCTTAAGAAACCATTTTCAACCGGATTTCTAAAGGAAAATATCGGTTATTATTTGGTGATGTACGGCGCGCGGGGCGCCGGCTGGGCGGCTGCCAAACAGTGTCCGTGCAATAACTGGAAAACGCTTTGACGAAATCTTTTTAAATTAGATATGTTGATTCCTGTGGCTAAATAAAGGTCAAGTTCGATTTTCACGATATTAGTAAGTAGCGAAAAGTGATACTTAGAACGTTGTCCGTGCAAAACTTGAAAACGCGTTGAAAAGACTTAGATGAAAATCTGGTGATACTTTGCTGAAACAAGACAACAACCGTTTGAAAGTGTGATTCTGGAAAGTTATTGGAGTGACTACAAAATTCTTTTGTTTCATATTAAATAAGATTATAGTCTCATAAACATATCTCTTTCATTATTGACTTAATGATTCCGCCTACCCACTCCTGCTGAACAAATGTGTGTGTACTTGTATACTCTCTTAAAATCCAATATTATGTCACTAATGATAAATAAGAGGACTAGATTTATTTTGGCCTTTCCATTTCTTAAACCTACAAAAATTCATTAATTTTTTTCAATTGATCCTGTTTGGGGGTCCAGGTTTACAAATATCATTTTCATGCAAGAAAATCCGGTTTGCTGTCAATCTGACAGCCTTTTGTTAAACGTTAGTATGTTTTCCAATGATAAAAACATCCATTTATCAAAGTAATAGCACAGATCAAAACCGGCTTATGTTCCATTCTCGGGGTCTCTCTATATATTCTGACTAACACAGAAAGGTATAGAATTCTAATTTAAGATAATCTTGAACGTTCCATTATGATGTAAATAGCATTTTTCCCTTGTTCAATCATATAATATTTGTCAACACTACCTGGCATCTGATATATGCGCAAACGTTGTAGGGTACCCAATTGTAAACCGGTATCAATTAAACAATCAGGCATATGATATAGATTATTATACATAAACAAGTTCATTTAACCTTGATATCATTTTCTATGTTTATTATGTAACGTTATGTTTTCAAGGCTATCTTCACTCCTTAGATACTATAAGCAATAGGTCAACTAGATTTGCTGTGTGCAATTATATAAAGGTGTACATATCTGTCTGGCAGGGTTCGTCTATTTTCAACTCCATTTTATTGATAAATGGTGTCGCGTTTAAATCCGTTTCTCAGATACTATTCTCAATAGGTCAACTAAATTAGGTTATGGAATGATTATAAGGTGTACATGTCCATCTTGCAGGGTTCATCCGACCTTGACCTCATTTCATGCTTTGTTGGTCAACATTAATATTTGTGAGTGTGTCTGTTTCTTAGATACTATGACCAATAGGTCAACTATATTCGGTGGATAGAATGATTTTAAGGTGAACAAATCCATAACTTCTCAGGTCTTTGATCTCATTTCGTGAATCATTGATAAAGTAAAGTTTTGTAATACCTAATCTTGAATACTTTCAACACAAAACACCATAAAAAGTATGCAAGATATTTCAGTATGTACTCTTGTTTTTAATTCGTCTTCAAATGCAAAAGATGTTTAATTGCATTTTATTTCCTATCATGATTTCCTTGATATAGGATTGCTGCTCACAAGGAAGCTATTAAACCAAGAGTTCCAAATTGTGAAGTTGAAATCATCCCTTCGTAAATTTTACGGACGTCATCACGAGTTGGTTGACCGTTATGGAATAACCGTTTCACAGATGATATCGGATATGTTCCTTATGTCGTAACTACAATACCCTTCCCTTTTCACGAATGTGACCTACCGAATTATACTATTTACCGGATTTGTAATAACATAAGCAACACGACGGGTGTCACATGTGTAGCAGGATCTGCTTACCCTTCCGGAGCACCCGAGATCACCCCCAGTTTTTGGTGGGGTTCGTGTTGCTTAGTCTTTAGTTTTCTATGTTGTGTCATTTGTACTATTAATTGTCTGTTTGTCTTTTTATTTTTGGCCATTGCGTTGTCAGTTTGTTTTCGATCTATGAGTTTGACTGTCCCTCTGGTATGTTTTGTCCCTCTTTTATGATTCCAGTGCAGGTGATAACATTTGATTGATTTATTCATTAACGTACGGGTTGAGGGAGACTTTCGTGTTTATATTCATTTCTATTAAAGTGTAAATTATGGTGTGAACAGATTTGTTTTTCAGTAATATGGACTGAATTTAATATATATCGGGATCACTAAGGATACGGACATTTCATAGTCGGGATGGGGACAAAGATAAGCAAAATGGTGTAAATAAATTCAGGAAAAGAAATCATCCGTCTCCCATAATATCAATTGGGCGTCCCCAAAAAATGAAAACAACACGTTATCAATTTCATGCGGCCGAAGCGCTTTTTTGGAGTTATCTTCATCAGGAACGCTCAAAGTCGAATATTTGAAAGCCAAGGATGTATAAGAACCGAAACAGTTGAAGAGCTATATTACCAAAAAGGACCTAAAAAATCAAAATCCATCTAAGGTCAACTTTGCCTGAGGGCGTTGAAACCTTACTTTCTAATAATTTCAAAATTTATTAACGGACAATTTTAGAAAGGTTTGTTATAAATCATGTCAGTACTGACTACTTGAGTGATGATACCCTCGGGGACTGATAGTCCACCAGCGTTTTATGGAGTTTTCCTTACCAAATGATATCATTCGTAGTTGTTCATGTCGTCTTCAGTCCGCATCACACTTTATGCGTACACCAAACTCCTTATGGATTCTTCTACAGACGTTACATCGTTCACCTGATTTTTTCGAGTGTTTTATAGGGTTTTCCTTACCAAAATATGAACTTCAAGACGAAGTCGCGGGTGATAATTTTTCACCAAGTGTGTTAATCACCCTAACACCTTCATCCAAGGGCACTATGTTTTTCATTATACTGAATGCCTTATGATTCAAGTGTGCACTATGTTATTAGAAGGACATCCTGTGTAAATGCTTTCATAAAATGTACTCACATTATTTGAAATGTGGACTTGTAATCCCGCAATTTAAGAAAAAAAAACGTTTAAAAATTCTCCTTGTTATTAAAGCGTTCTCAGAGTTAAGCGTACGTCACAGCTAGAAAGTAAAAAAACGTAAAAATACGTAGAAAACTATTTTCCCATTTGCGCACAATACATGTTTATCGTCATATATATGTATTGTGATAAAAATTCACAATATCCAATAAAATTAGTAGATTTGGCAAACTAAGTTCTTATGATTGATAGATAAAATAACATTCATTTTTCAGTGGAAAATTGTTTTAAAGTAAATTTTGTTCAAAATAAAAACTTTGAGCTAACCACCATTTGTCATTAATGTTATATAACTCTTGTTTTTTTCAACGTTTTATTACCACAGGGAAATAATCAAATTTAGACTTTGGGGGCTTCGGTTGGTCAAAGTTGCCCCTGTCCTTGACCAAGAGATAAATATGCTGATATTTCTTCGGTGTGTGTGTTCCCGCCGAGTAGCCCGGTGGTTCTCTTCGGTGAATTCTGCTTCCATTACCATAATATCAAACTTCCCGGTGTCCTAGTGCTCCCTTTGTGTTGGGATGGGGATTTTCCTTGTTATTATTGATTTATATGTGTCACTCTCGAGAGGTGCTACCAGTACAAAGATATAAGATGATGTGGTATGAGTGCCAATATGACAACTCTCCATCCAAGTCACAATTTGTAAAAGTAAACCATTATAGATCAAAGTACGACCTTCAACACGGAGCCTTGGCTCACACCGAACAGCAAGCTATAAAGGGCCCCAAATATGACTAGTGTAAAACCATTTAAACAGGAAAACCAACGGTCTTATCCATATAAAAACGAGAAACGAGAAACACTTATGAACTACATCAACAAACGACAACCACTGAACATCAGGTTCCTGACTTAGGACAGGTGCAAACAAATGCAGCGGGTTTAAACGTTTAAATAGGCGTCAACCTTCACTCTACCTGAAACAATAGTGTAACATCACAACAAAGAAAGACACACTATAAAATATCAATTGAAATGGCTTAACTCAATCAAATACATACATATCATATATGGTCTTTAAAAAAAATTATATGCTTAATGTCTCAATCATACGTCTAAATTAATATGATGAAACAGCACGCATGTTCGAAAACATCTACGAAATATTATATTTACAATTCAAAATGACGGTGACATAATGAACTCAAGACATATAGTATAAACTGCTGCAGAATTTTAGGATCACAATGATCATTTTCTTGTTTTAGGAGTAAGAAGATTTTTGGATGATATTGAGACAATGATCGGAAAAAGCTTTTGTGGACCAGTCGGTTTCCCATGGTTTATCGCTAAATGGTGGTGGGCAATTTGTTGGTCCTTTCTCACTCCTTTAGCTGTCTCTGTGAGTATAGTTTATTTTGACAATCATACGATATCACTCTTAGATAATGATGTATAAAAATAAGTCATTATAAGTCAAACGGATTATTTACCGGCTAAGTGTTTAAAGCCGATACTAAAAAGGAAAAGATCCAAAACCATTAACAAAAATGCAGATACAACGTTTAGCAGTGGAATGACTTAAGATCTAAAGGGACACTTTGAAGACAGGTGTTACATGTAAACAAACAGAGCGTTTATATAAGTATTATAGAATTTTATTAGTTATTGTCATCAAAGTAAACATATACACAATGGTATGTTTCGCAAGTTAACTTTTTTCAAAATCTGTGCCAATCAGAAGTATATGGACTCAAATTCATTCAGATGTAACCCCGATGGTACTGGAATATATCAATATGGTCAGCTAGACTTCTCCCGTGCTAAGAGAGACGCATGCTTGGCTGTGCCAGAGGAATAAATATTTAAACACGCTCATTTTGGAATGAAGACGTAAAATCCAATTACAAGTATTTTGCACATTACAGCTTGCACGACAAGTATACTTTGACGTGTTTTTTTCAGCGATTGATACATAGAATATGTTATGTATACATGCTGCATTTGACACAAAATTCTATTTCAAATTAATATGGTAGAATTGCAGTAAAAACACGTAAAAGTAAAAAAATATGTTAAGCATGCCTCACATCTTGACTTAGATTTAAAAATTGACAATGAGGGTCGGTCGAGAACAAAACTTTACGACGAAAGAGATGATTTCAGCTTCTCAATTGTGAACTTTTCATTGTTATGTAGCAACATTCCAGCAACGCCTGCATATGGAGTATATATACTGGTGAGTTCGATAATAAAAAAAAAATCTAAAATATTTTGATATCCCTTATCCATTCTTGTCGACGGGATAGCTCCTTCATTTTTTATTAGATCCTATGATGACTCGCCAAAAACCTCATATTTCAATTCTAGTCGTAACCTTTGTTGGATACATGTAGTTCTCTTCCCTCCTCCGTTCATTTATGTATGTAAATAAATATGTAAATAAACCTTGAAAATTCTTCAATTATGTTAATGTTTTATTTTCAGTTTGTCCTGGTATTTTCCTGGGTAACATATGAAGGGTATTCAGACAATCGTGAAAAGTATCCAGAATGGGCAGATGCACTAGGATGGATGATGACGTTATTTGTTTTGGTTACAATCTTTGTTGCATCCTTATGTGTCTTTATTTGGACACCAGGAAGTTTTGAGGAGGTATGTCAAAGGATGTTAAGCAATATTTTGTTGATGGAACACGCTATATGTCATTAGCTATGCATAAAAGGATGTCCATAACATTTTTCATGTACATTTTGAAAAAGATTGCAGGATCACAGTTTCGGATCAAATGAAATTTGAAAAATAATTTATTAGGAACTAAAATAAATTCTGAATTCCAAATTTTACGTCAAATTCAAACAAAAAAAAAGACCTATCAAATATTACTTCTCCCATTTGTATTTAAAAGTGCCAGTAGATCATAGAAATGTGAACATTAAACGGATGACAAAAGACAATGGTCGAGCCTAATAACGATAAGCGCTAACACGCGCCTTTTGAACTAAGTGAGTCAAAGGTAAATCTTGTTCGGAGGATACACAAAAAATTATATAACACGTATATGTCAAATGACTAGTTTTTTTTTTGCGCTGCAGTACTGATGTTTACAAATTATGTCCAATATTCAGAAGCTGTACACGACAGGGTCAGAAATTTTGGAATGGAAATTCTCTGTTACATGTACAAGTATTTGTCCTCCATGAAACACATTTGACGTAATAATCGGGCCACAGAAGTCGGATTTAATTTTCTGGATTAAGTCTATTTCTATTGTTGTTTGCTAATATTTAAAACGTGTACACCACTTGGTATACGGACTGATCATTCAATTGTATGTCTGCCTGACATGAGTAGTGTGGCCATGACATTGTCTTCACACTTGAGGTAGCAAATTAAATTTTGCATATGTGGTCTCTTCCTTGGTTTTTATGCATGATTGGTCATTTATCTTTCACGGTGGATTTACTTAGGGTTAAATGTTAGCCTGACATATGTTATGGCTTTGACTTCTAATGCGCTAGTAAATATATTATTCTTTTTTAAATTCAACGGCAATTTTGATGTTATTGCATCCATAGAAACAGAACTAATGTCATATCCTGTATCTAAGTCATTTTTGAGACAATTCATCTTCAACATTTGCAGTCAATTAAAAATAATTTCTAAGTATCAAGAAGCTACACATTTCTATTCCAATATCCAACCAATCTGATATTGAAATATCTCGTCCTCTTTCCCTCAATTATAGCATATCTGAATGCGACTTATCACCAGAATTTTATTTGTCATGAGCAAAACGACATGTAACACTAATTGAGTAGGAACTGTTTTCCTTTCAGGGCATAGGAGTTCATCACGGTTTTGGATTAGCTTCTTGATGCTTATTCTTTAGTTGTCTCTACAGAATTTTGTTGCCTCCTTTTTTGTCGTTTCGTCTTTTTCCTTCTAATCGTGTTGTTTTCTCTTCGACTTTAGCATTTTGATTGTCCCTTGTTATGCTATTTTAATTGATACAATATAAATGTTTAAAACAACTGACTTTGACCCCCTCCCCCCAAAAAAAAAATGCCCAAAAGAAAAATGCAAGGAAAATGGTATTAAACAAGACGCTTTAAATAAAGCATGTATAACGTATGGACGGTAAGCAACATTTGATATAAGCATAAGGACTCGGTCTGTATTGTCGTTTGACACATTTCATATAGTTTGCCCTTTATCCAGAAAAGCGCTTCTGACGCGTGACATTTATAACGTGTTGTTTTCATTTTTTTTATAGCACTGGCTCGATACCTCTGTTGGTAGACTATCAGTCCCCGAGGGTATCATCAGCTCAGTAGTCAGTACTTCGGTACTGACATGATTTGTAACAAACGTTTCTAAAATTGTCCGTTTATAAATTTTGAAATTATAAAGAAACTAAGGTTTCGACTCCCTCAGAGACAAAATTGACCTCAGATGGAGTTGGCTATTTTTTTATGTCTTTTTTTGGTTATATACCTCGTCAACTGTATCGGTTCTTATACATCCCTGGCTTTCAAATATTCGACTGTGAGCGTTCCTGATGAAGGTAAATACAGAAAAGAGTTTCGGACGCATGAAATTTATTTATTTATTGCGGGGTCAGCACGAGTTCACGTGTATGTGCTCTGTGTGCACTTCCTTTTATCAGCAGCTTTTGACTTGTTAACTTGTAAAGGTTAAAGCGAACCATATTTTTTGTGTTTAACTATTTCATGCTTACATAATTACATTTTTGACAAACGTGCAGTTGCTTTAACACCATTCTTCATTCATAGATTACACGATTTTGTTTTATACAATACATGATATTTTATAGTGTGTATTTCTATGTTGTGATGTTACACTATTGTTTCAGATAAGGGTGAAGGTTGGTACCTATTAAAACGTTTAAACCCGCTGCATTTGATTGCACCTGTCCTAAGTCAGGAATCTGATGTTCAGTAGTTGTCGTTTGTTGATGTGGTTCATAAATGTTTCTCGTTTCTCGTTTTTTTATATAGATTAGACCGTTGGTTTTCCCGTTTGAATGGTTTTACACTAGTCATTTTTGGGGCCCTTTATAGCTTGCTGTTCGGTGTGAGCCAAGGCTCCGTGTTGAAGACCGTACTTTGACCTATAATGGTTTACTTTTACAAATTGTGACTTGGATGGAGAGTTGTCTCATTGGCACTCATACCACATCTTCTTATATCTATGTTATGGCTGAGTGAAAGATACATTGTGGTAAATATTTAGTGTTGGTGGCACTATGCGTTTGCGACCAAAATGTACGTTTTTACCATGCTTATGGAAAATGATAGCTGATGATAAACACGGGGTTGTATTTTTAAAAGGTGGGGGTAATGCTATTAAGCATAAGAAAGTTGACCACGATATATCATTTCATTTGCAAATTACATCAATTATGGTTCAAATAGGCACTTCAAAGTTTAAACAACGTTAAAATGACGTTGAATGAATTGTTAGTTTTGAAATTTGAGATGACATTGAAATGATGATGTTGAGATATGTTTACAATACTGATTTTATATTGTTGTAGGTTGAAACTTAACATTGAGACAACCTCACAATAGAACATTGAAATTACCATATTTAATCATGTTCATGTTTGAAAAAGGCAATTTAAGGCTATTGTTGGTCCATGTCTGTTATATTCGTTTTTTGTTTTAAATTAGGGGGTTGGTTTTTCGTTCGAATTGTTTAACATTGTTCATATCGGAGCCTAACCTACTATACGCTATTTGTCATGTGCATTGTTGAAGGCTGTACGGTGATCTATTGTTGTCTCATTGGCAATATTACCTCATCTCCTTATTTTAATAATACATTATTATTAGAAAAGAAATTAAAGCCACATCAACTTATTTCTTGACTTCTACTGAGGATTCAGTCGTGTCCAATATTGCAATCTAATAAATGAACACAAACAAACTCTTTAAATTCCAAGTGGGGTTATCATCGGCCAGCTTTTCAACCGTTGTGCAGCTAATCGGCCACATTTTTACAATGCACATGTTTATCAACGATATAGAACTTGGATCAATTATCGTGTTGACATCATAGAGTAATGTAGTCCGGTACTGAATCCTTAATAGCATATGACGTTGTTCATTTAAATGCAAAAGGCATCCTAATATTTTCCAAAAGTATAGGATCCGCCTTGGCATGAACTCATTAACGATAAATGGTTAAGACCTATTGTATATATATAATAATATTGACAAGTCTAAATTGAAAACAACGTTCAAACCTATGATTGCGTTGGATAAAAACCGCAATTTTTATACGTTTGCATGCAAAACAAATTTCTTGGTAGAGGGGTCTAAATACAGCTCAAACAACATTTTCCAAAAGACCAAAAATGTGAAAAAGTATATCTTAACAAAACGCATTTGACAAGCAGGTCGAACAACGGATGTTCTTAAACCCTGCTGACTGCCATGGCGATTGCCAAATAAACGGATCACCAGATATAACAAAATGGATCTTAATTATTAATTAAATACCAAACAGAAAACAATAAACTTGCGGAAAAGATGGTATACCGCAAACATGAGGTGCAAAAATTTGTTCACCATATCCGGATTTCGACAATTAATGTCTCTTCAGTGATGTTAGGAATTGAAACGGTATTTGGAAGGCCATATAATTTACCTCAATTTAGGATAGACTCTTGAATTTTGAAGAGTCGAAATAGGATGAACGGATTATCTAAACCCGAAGGCAAATATAATACAAGCCCAAACGAAAAAATATAAACAAGTCTAAATTGAAAACAACGTTCAAACCTATGATTGCGTTGGATAAAAACCGCAATTTTTATACGTGTGCATGCAAAACAAATTTCTTGGTAGAGGGGTCTAAAGACTGCACAAACAACATTTTCCAAAAGACCAAAAAAGTGAAAAAAGTATATTCAAACAAAACGCATTTGACTAGCAGGTCGAACAACGGATGTTCTTAAACCCTGCTGACTGCCATGGCGATTGCCAAATAAACGGATCACCAGATGTAACAAAATTGATCTTAACTATTTATTTAATACCAAACAGAAAACAACAAACTCGCGGACAAGATGGTATACCGCAAACACGAGTTGCAAAAATGTGTACACCATATCCGGATTTCGACAATTAATGTCTCTTCAGTGATGGTAGGAGTCGAAATAGGATGAACGGATTATATAAACCCGAAGGCAAATATAATACAAGCCCAAACGAATAAATATAAACAGTATTAACATACATGGTAGAATGAAAAGTTATATACTTATATATTATACTATTAAACCATTCCTTACATTTAAACACTCTAATATGAAAGAGGCAGAAAATTTAAGTAATGAGGCTTAGCTATTGTCTATTGTTTGTTTGGTTACAAACCAATTTGCCTTGCTTGTTTTTGGGTAAGGTGGACGATATTATAATATCACAGAGGGCGTGGTTGCTTGTACTTATGACCTCTGTGTATTTGCTTTTGCAAATATGCTTTTATGTAGTGTTTATTATTTTATGCTATGTCATGAAACTCATGCTACTTCGGTTAATATCGTCATGGTGATTGGTTTTGAACAAATAATCTTGAAGGTTAGCCTATTCGCTATAATTGCCAGTATTTCAATGTATGCATGTGTACCTTGTTTGCTTTATGTTAACGGCATAAAAAGTACATGTCTCTTACACGAATCGCAACCAAATGCTTATCTATTACAAACACATGTGCCTATCCTTGCATGTTCGAGTAAGGTGTAATACCGGTATATTTCAAATGGTGCAGAGGACGTGTTTGCTTGTTTTTATGACCTCTGTGTATTTGTTTTTGCAGAGGGTGTGGTTGCTTGTACTTATGACCTCTGTGTATTTGCTTTTACAGGGATCGGTGTTGCCTGTACTTATGACCTCTGTATATTTGCTTTTGCAGAGGGCGTGGTTGCTTGTACTTATGACCTCTGTGTAGTTGTTTATGCAGAGGGAGTGGTTGCCTGTACTTATGATCTCTGTGTATTTGCTTTTGCAAATATGTTTATTATATATAGTTATTGTTTAATGCTTTGTCATGAAACTCATGCTACTTTGTTAATATCGTTATGGTGATTGGTCTGGAACAAATAATTGTAGTTAAGCCTATTCGCTATAATTACCAGTATTTTCAGACATATAGCCATTTTCACATGTTTGCCAGTATTTTAATACATGTTGCTAATGTAATAATTAAATTATGGTTACTAGTATAATTCATGTAGTTTTGGGTTGCGATGAACTTAATTTATAATTGTCATACCAATATATATATATATATATATATATATACTGAAGCATTGTAAGGTTGTTTGCTTATAATTCATAATAGGTTTACTATTAAAAATAACAATGGATAAGACATAAGTTATTAATACAGTGATAATAGTTTAAAGTTCATGCCCTCCATTTAAATACATATTAAAAAACTAAATTATCGCATTTTATACTTTAACATGTGTTACGTTTATTGTTCAAGAGTTAGATAGAGTTTGTTATATGATGCCAATTTTTGTTTTTTTTTGTTTTTTACATTTAAATTTTGTTTATTTCGTGTTTCAAATATGAACGAAGGGATCTGAGTCAGGGGCCTGGTTTTCAAAAGTATCTTACGACTAAGACATGTCTTACAATAATCTTTGGACATTTCATAGTCGTAAGATAAGTTTTCAAAAATGTCCCAAGTTATGATATGTCATAACTTTAATCGCAAACTTAAGATACCTCGCGACATGACTTATGATGGTCTTATGATTATCATAAAAGTTTCGACATAACTTTCACTGTTTTAATGTGATCAGTGTCATTTACTGCATTTATCCTTGCACAAGCAACCTCCAATGCTCTCTTTTTACATCTGTTTGATGTTGTGTTGCTCAGTCTGCTAAATAGTAAAGATGTGTTCTTCTCACCTTGTCAATTAAAATTTGAATCTTCCGAGACGTACAACTTAGACTCTTTGTCTTACTCATAATTTTGTATAATGAACATATTTATATATATTATTTCTCTCCTTATATAGTAGTTTATTAACGGATTTGCATGGGCATTTCGTTAAGCGGGTACTCGATGTACCAAATCTGAAAAGTGTTCATAATTAAATGACACTCAATGTATAATAATACATGAACGCGAAGTTCTAGAATTTTATTACTAGTGGAGATGCGAAATCTGAAAAGACGCTCAGTTAAGGAGTTTTTAAAATATATATAAACAAATTATCAACTCATTTCTTCTTCTTCTTCTTCTTCTTCTTCTTCTTCTTCTTCTTCTTCTTCTTCTTCTTCTTCTTCCACCGCTTCGAATTTGAACTTGTCCGATAGTCAGAGGGTTCCACGATATGTGAGACTAATATGTCTAGTGGTGCCATCAGGGTTTTGTTTGTGCATTGGGGTCTATAAAGGGGATACTTTGAGGAGCCAAAAGAAGGGAGGAGTTTACTATAGAATTCTATGGGATTTATATTTTTTTAATAATCAAATTATCATAACTTGAGAACAGTTAGTGATAGACACATGCTGTTTTCAGTAATGACCATGGGAACATATGGCCTACTTCAAAGTCAATAGGTCAATGGTCACTTATGACCTTTGACCTTTGACCTTGAACTTTTTTTTTCAATTTACACAATTAAATGTAGGAAAGTTATCAGATTAATTATCATATAATGCATTTGCCAATAAAGTATCTCATTGGAACTACTAATGTGTAAAAAAACAATATTAATGTGTTGAAATATAATGGAATTTCGATGCTACACTTTTTTTTACCACATAGTTGCTTTTGAAGAGAGTATGGGGATGAATATGGGAATGTTTAATTTCGAAAAACAAAACATTTTACAATCAAAAACTATAGGCCATAAATGCTTATAAATGTTGAAGACTTAAAACAGTTTACAATCGAAATATGTATGCTTATACATATATATATATATCTCTCCTGTTTCACATTTTCTGCCTATTGTCTTAAAAACTACGATCTATAATGATTTACCCTATTTTATCTTTGAAAGTTTCGCATAGTTTTTTGCTTTAGTTAACCTTATGTTTAAGAGAATTACACTATTGCATTGATTTCATAATAGTTTTCTTATGCTGTTTATGTTATACTACTTGCATTTTACTCATTTCAGCGTATGAGGTACTTAACGCACCCTTCAAATGAGTGGGGCCCTGCACTTGTTAAACACAGACGAGAGGCAAAGAAATTTATTGACAAGTGGGACACATCCTTTGAAGTAGATCCGCTTGGAAAAGAAGCATTGGAAAACGAAGTATCACCAAACGATATAAACATAGAGGTAAGAATAATGTGTGGGGAAATATGGTCTTTTATCATGTCCGTCCGTTATATGTTTGTAAACGAAAAAGCTCTAACATTTTACATATTAAGAATTTATTTGACAGAATTCATTCATACAATGTCTGATTGTACATACGTTTGACAACGCAAAAAACGCACAGTTGGTATAATGATTACATACAGTTACTATTGATTACAAATAGCATACAGCGTTGATACGGTTATTATCGATGCTGAATGAAATACTAACGTCTATAACCGTATATATGGTTCTTCCAATGGTGCACATTATTAGCTTGGAGATGTCATACAATATACTTTTCAGTACATATATTTTTTCAGTTTTTATGGGACAAAAATGTTACTCAAAGGTAGTGTTTTTGAATAAACCGGATAGGACGTATGGCAGAGAAAAGGTTACCATATTTTTTTAAGGCAAAGTTGTTGAACTCTTTTTGTGGTATTTACATGTATTCTATACTTTCGTACCTCAGATTTCCGGATTTTAATTATACTATATATTTCGTAAAATAAACAGCAACATTTATCATTTTCGACAATGATTGGTGTCTTGCCTGTTGACTCTGACCTTGTGCATCTTATCAACATGTTACCCTACTGGATAAAATATTTGCCGCTGGATATTAGTAGCCAATAGTCAAGTAGTTAATCCATAATTTCACAAACGTGTGTATTTTGGATAGACTTTTAATCACTTTCATCTTATGTTTAATTTTTCGTTCTTTTGTCCGATTATTATTGTTTTGATTGATTTATTGTTTATTATTGAAACGGTGGACACCAAGATTAGAATTAGATTTGCCACTTCTTTGTTATGATATTTTTTTTTAGGTTTTGGCGAAATCTATTACAGTCGCAGTCGTCATTAATTGTATTCCATAGATACAAAGATTTAGTTTAGAAGTTTGGCTGTACTCGTAAAAAACTTATTTCAAATGGAATAGCCCATTCCAATTTTTACGGTGATGTTGTTTACCGACCCCTGAAATTTAGATACGATCCGGATAAACAAATTAATCCTTTAAATAAACTTATTCTAAAAAGTTACCAAATCAACACTGGAATTAGATCTTTGAATATTGTTTTTATTGGTATAAATATTGATTTTGTTATCAGTAAATTAAAACCATACTAAATATTATTGTTATACACATGTGCACATTTACGGTACTACAATCTGTCGATGCCTACATTTTACCATTGCACAAGGTCATGTTTTTCTCTGACTGTTAATGACGTCTCTACCATGTTACACTAAATCCATTGGGTATGATATGTGTACTGATTGATATTTTAGTCGTAGATACATGATTATTAGTTGTTATTGGCTTTGAACTAGCTGTCAGTAACTCTGAGTACTCTCAGATCTGTATTTTGTGTCTTTTGTGTTGTGAGGGATGTTTATAATTACCCTGCTACGTCCGGTCTGTGTTTTGTTAGATGTTTTTCCGGTTTATAATGATCTGATGAGTTAAGCCCTTTCAACCGATGTTTATAGTTTGTTCTTATGTTGTGTTGTTACACCACTGTCCCAGGTTAGGGGAAGGGTTGGCGAATTCAAACATATTTTATCCCGCCACATTCTATATGTGCCTGTCCCAATTCAGGAGTCTGCAATTTAGTGGTCATCCTTTATTGCTGTGTCTTATATTTGTTTTTTGTTTATTGTTTTTCATAATTTGTTCTTGTGTTGTGCCGTAAACACCACTGTCTCAGGTTGGGGAGGGTTGGCGAATTCAAGCAAGATTAACCCCGCCACATTCTTTATGTGCCTGTCCTCAAGTCAAGAACATGAGTTCAGAGGTTGTTGTTGGTTCATGTCTGTCATATTTGATTTTGATGAATTGTTTTGTTATAAATTAGGCCGTTAGTTTTCTCAATTGAATTGTTTCAAATTTTTTTTTATGTCGGGGCCTTTTATAGCTGACTATACGGTATGGGTTCTTCTCATTGTTGAAGGTCTAACGGTTGCCTATAATTGCTTACACCCATTTCATTTGAACTTTGGTGGATAGGTGTTTAATTTGCAATCATACCACTTCTCCTTATTTCTATATAAAATCTTTATTGTTAAGTTCAAATATGACAGTGTTGATTTATGCTGGCAAACATAATTGTTATACCATAGATGTATAAATACATCTTTTGTTATACAAACCATTTTAGATGCATGTATCAAGACTACTGATTTTAGTAGGAGTTCATTTTTTAAGTAATAAAGAGGAAATATGGGCACACTGAATTAAGGCCGACCATAACTTTAGTAACTGTACACTAATATTACTTTTGTTTATCATGTTTACTTTATAGAATCATCCCTATTGCCTTTGTTAACCGATGCTATCTGATAACCAAGTTTGTTTCAGCTAACAAATTTACTTGGCTGCTACATTTTAAAACAGATCAGAACTTAAACACTTTATCCAAAATATAAATGACTTGAAGAATTTGATAATTATTGAAATGTACAGTGTACGCTAGCTGTTTGTGTTTGACGGAGTAATCAATATAATATCGTTTTGCAAATTTTAAGTAACTTTACATTGATATTCCTTCATTTATCAAGCATGCATATATGGTCGAAATTGACAACCGAATCCCTATATAAGTTATTTCCCCTGAATGATGATTTTTACCAATTTTTTGGCATTTTTGTAAAAAAAAACTAAATTAAATAGAGAGAAACTTTAAGACCCCAAATAAGATCTACAAATACGCCAACATGGCGAAATTTAAGATTGCTTATTAGACTAATTGCCCTTAAATTACGATTTTTTAATATTTGTTGATAGCTTTGCCAATTTAAAAAAATTTAATAGGTATTAACTGTTAAACAGCGATACATATCTTCAATAAAAGTTTAAAAATATCTTTAAATAAGATTTACAAATAAGCAAACATAACTGATTGCATTAAAAGTAAAAATTTAATATCAAAATGGCACATAGTATTTCCCAGGTAAGCGATTCATGCTCTTAGAGGTCTCTTGCTATTTGATAGAATACATAATTTTCTATTTAACCTGAACGAAAATTAGTTATTTTCGAATTTATTAAATAATGTGAATCATATTGCTCCAAAAGATCAATGCAAACTATCTTTTCTTGATATTGTAGTTTGTGTACCAGGTCAGGAAAGAATATGGCAGTTTTTTTTTCACTTGCTCCGTTGATTGATAGCGTTTGATTTTGTCAGTTTTTTTATGGACTTCCCCTTTGTCAATTTGTCTTGGAGTTCAGTATTTTTGTTGTACTTTTTTAATAACTCATAACTTACGAGGGATGCCACATGTGGAGCGGGATCTGCTTACCATTCCGTAGCACCTGAATTTTTGGTAGGGTTCGTGTTGCTCGGTCTTTAGTTTTCTATGTTGTGTTTTGTGTACTGTTGTTTGTTTTTTGGTCTCTTTTCTTCTTTTTTTTGCCATTGCGTTGTCAGTTCGTTTTCGAATTGTGAGCTCGCGTGTCCCTTTGGTATCTTTCGCCTCTCTCTTTCATAAGATCATCGAAAAATCATTCCCTAAAATACTGCAAATACTCACCCGAATGAGTTAAGTTGTTTTGTGATAAAGTCTATTTTTGGAATTGACAAGCGGTTTCGCCCTCCAAAATCTGACAAGTCGCTATAAGCTACCTTTCAATTTAAATATCTAGATACTGAACGTCCTGTACAATCATTCTTTTCCAGCAAAAATGTATGCGAATCGATCTAATCAAAATAAACATAAAGGAGTACGCTGTAATTTTGATCCTCTATTTCAGATTTATGACAAGTCTGGAAAAGAAAATCAGGCTTATGTTAGTGACAGGATGTGAAGACCGAGTTGACATAGAAAGTGTATGATAACAGGCGTGTATATTTAGGGAAAATATAGTTTCTCGCGTTGGTGGAAATATTCATATTCTGAAGCTGCATATATAAGAATAAAATGTTCTTGGTTTTTTTTTTTATAAATTTTAAGTAATTAGCTCAACAAGAAATATAAATGTATGAACTTTTTCTATGTCCGCCACAGTCCAGTCTCATATCGATGTCCTGTTCTCAAGTCTAAGTCCAGTTTTTCGGCATAATAACCTATAATCAATATCAAAATATTTCATCCTTACATCGACGTCTGTTATTTTTGGTTCATTTCATTGAAAAATTATTAAGAAAATGCTGTTGTCTTTCAAAATTACAGTTTTGATCAATCTTTAAGCATTCATGAAAAAACGAGAAACGAAAACACAAATGAACCACGCCAACAAACGACAACCAGTGAGCAACAGGCTCCTTTATAATACATATTATAATTAATTTTTACCGAAGAAATTGTTTTAATCCACTACTGCGCACATGAACTTTTCCAAATAAATAAAAATAGCAGAGTGGGGAAGTGTATGCTAACAATTTTTTTTATGATCTTGAATTGTATTTGACTTACCATTTATCGGAATACTTTACCTTTTAATTCTCTGATTCAAAGTGTATTTTACCTTTCTATAAAAGAAAACAATCTATGACTTAGATTTGAGAAAGAAGGAAAAAGTCGACGATTTTGAAAAGCGGTGACCGTACTCGTCGTACATAGATCTGAATCTAGCATATATGCCAGAAATATTATCATTAATACTTACATATTTAACCATTATAATATATGCATAAAATTATACGAAAAATATTAAGTAGTTATATTATAGTCTACAGTATCATTGTCAATTTGTTGTAAATTTGATATCCATGCTTTATTGTTTCATGTCTCTTGCGACGAATGTCACAGAATGCGACACATTGTGATGCTAATCCGATGTTTACGGAGGCGGCGACGTTAGCATTTCTATAAAGCTTCATATTATAGCAGATAGATTAGCTGAATACTGCTGTTTGTCTGACTATTTTCCTTGTAATATTGGTGTAAGACAAGGAGAAAATCTCTCTCCTTTTTTATTCTCCCTATATCTGAATGATTTGGAATCTTTTTTACAAATGCATGATGTTTTGGGACTAAGCTGTATATCTGAAGAAATTGAGAATGAGATGAATATTTATATTAAGCTTTTTGCTTTATTATATGCAGACGATACTGTTCTATTTGCTGAATCAGTTGAATCTCTTCAGTCTCAACTTAATACATTTAGTGAATATTGTAAACTTTGGAAACTTAGTGTAAATTCTAGTAAAACGAAAATTATGATTTTTTCTAGTGGACGTTTATCGCAAAATCCTCATTTTTATTTTAATAATATTGAATTAGAAGTTGTTAAAGAAATTCCATATTTGGGATTGACTTTTTCGAGGACAGGTAGCTTTGCAAGTACTAAAAAGATATTAGTTACTAAGGCATATCGAGCTATGTACGATGTACTTAAAAAGGGGAGAGTTCATAACCTTTCTGTGAGATGTCAGTATGATTTGTTCGATAAGATAGTGAAGCCTATTTTACTTTATGGGTGTGAAATTTGGGGGTTCAGTAATATAGATATTATAGAGAGAGTACATTTGAAATTTTGCAAGCTACTACTGAACTTGAAGAAGTCGACCCCAAACTTTATGGTTTATGGCGAACTTGGTGTCTATCCCATGGCAGTCTACATTAAACTGCGTATGGTAAATTATTGGTGTAGAATTGTCCACGGCAAAGAAAATAAGTTGTCACACATTTTGTATAACTTTATGTTTTTTAAATATTCACAGAATAATTGTACGTCTGAATGGGTTATTTTTATAAAAAATATTCTTGAAACATGTGGCTATAGTAATATCTGGTTAGCACAAACTGGCTTTAACACAAAATGGCTAAATAATAGTTTAAAACAGAAGTTATTTGACCAATTTCAACAAAACTGGCGTTCAGATATATGTAATTCGTCAAAAGGTTTATCGTACAGATTATATAAGGATAAGTTTGAATTCGAAAAATATTTAGATATATTACCAGATAGAGATAGGGTTATATTTTGTAGATTTAGAACTGGTAATCATAGATTACCAATTGAAACTGGTAGATGGATAGGTTTAGATAGAGAAAGGAGATATTGTAATTTATGTCAATGTCAAGAATTAGGTGACGAATTTCACTTTCTTCTGAATTGTAGATCCCTAGACGACTCAAGAAAACTGTTTTTGGATAATTGTTATTGTAACAGAGTAAATGTAATTAAATTTTGTAAATTATTACAAACAACACATAGAAATAAGTTAAAAAATATATGTAAATTTATAAAGGTTATAAATTCATTAGCAGGTCTTCCTGGTTAGCCTTTGTCTATCTGTTTTTCTATTATAATAACTAAATGATCTTGTATAGTAATTGTAACATTCATATCTTGTCATGTGCACAATTTATTTTGTATACTATGTATTATTATTTCATTCTTTGTACCAATGTGTATACAATGGTTTTAAAGAATAAAATTGTCTTGTCTTGTCTTGGTGCCTTATGAGTTTCATTAAGTTTGGAGCAGTTTGAGATTTTAAGACATTTTTGCTGTTTCTATGGTAACGGTATCCATTTTGAAAATTCCAACAACAGTTTCAACATCGACTATTATGCTATGTTATATATTCATGAAATTTGTTTCAGTTTGATCTTATAATCCTTAAGAAAATGCTGCTTTGATGTTTTTTCCCATAGAATCAATGTTAAACTTTTCTCAAGTTTCCATGGTAATGGCAGCCATTTTAAAATTCCAAGTACTGTTGGTACCTCAAGGCACCACTGCCAACATTTACATAAACTTTCAAGAGGATGACTCTTATAACGAAAGATTTAGAATTTGAATATTTTTTTACATTTTTGCAGTTTCCTTGGTAACGGCGGCCATTTTGAACCATTCCAATGTCTCTTGCACAACTTCACATGGCGGTTCATATTATGGTATAGTTCCATCAACAAAGGTCTGACCAATCTCGAGAAATAGCATGGACAAAATGTGTGGAACAATAAAAATAAAAAAGAAACTAGATTTGCCATTGCAAGCAATAGCGGATGGCACCCTTCCCACATTGCCACTAAACTGCAGCCATTTTGAAAATTTGAAACAGTATTTACACTTAAATACATCACAACATATTTGTTTGTAAATTTTCAGAAAGTTTTGAGCATTTTTCAATTTTTCACATTTTAGTAGTTTCCATGACAACGGCGGCCATTTTGGAAATTCCGAAGTCCAAATTCTTATCTTTACTTACCATTTACCATTCATAATGAGTTTCATTAAGTTTGGAGTATTTTGAGATTTTTGGACATTTTTGTTGTTTCCATGGTAACGGTGTCCATTTCGAAAATTCCAACAACAGTTGACTTATGCAATGTTATATATTACTAAAATTTATTTCAGTTTGATCTTATATTCCTTAAGAAAATGCTGCTTTGATGTTTTTTCCCATAGGATCAATGTTAAACTTTTCACCAGTTTCCATGGCAATGGCAGCCATTTTGAAAATTCCAAGTACTGTTGGTACCTCAGGGCACCACTGCCAACATTTACATAAACTTTCAAGAGGTTGCCTCTTATAACGAAAGATTAAGAATTTTGATTTTTTTTTTACATTTTTGCAGTTTCCATGGTAACAGCGGCCATTTTGAACCATTCCAATGTCTATTGCACAACTTCACATGGCAGTTCATATTATGGTATAGTTCCATCAACATGGGTCTGACCAATCCCGAGAAATAGCATGGACAAAATGTGTGGAAGAATAAAAATGGTAACGGCGGCAATTTTAAAAATTCCAAAGTCGAATTACAGCTACATATGGTGCTACCTGTAATAATCTATCATTATATAACATAAAAGTACATAGGAATAATTCAACACTATCACATGACTAATCACATGACTATTGTTCTAGAATGTTCCATGAAAATTGACCCCCTAAAATAATGCCAAGATGACCCTGGGCTGAAATAAAAAATGTGGAATGGACACCTGGACATCGGTCTCTTGTATTACACAAAACTTAAAGGTTCTACCAGTAGCGAATCAATAGTCGAAAAATGACCCCACCCATGTTCCGGCCCCCAAATAGTGCCAAGTTGACCCCTATTTGAAATAAAAAATAGTGAATGCACCCCTAGGGATACCACCCCAACATCATACCAAATGTAAAGTTTCCATCATTTAAGGCTTGGAAGAAAATAGTCGGACAAATTAGGGTTAAGAAGAATAATAATAATAACTAGATTTGTAATTGCTAGCAATAACGGATTGCACCCTTTCCCCCATTGCCAGGGTAACGGCAGCCATTTTGAAAATTCCAAAGTCAAAGAGTGCATCTACAGATGCTGATTTACATTTTTGTAAAGTTTCAATAAGTTTGGAGCATTTTGAAATTATTGACATTTTTGCAGTTTCTATGGTAACGGCGGCCATTTTGAAAATTCCTAAGTCAAACTGCAAATCAGCACATGCCAGTTACCATTTCTGTGAAGTTTCTTTCCATTTGGGGCACTTTGATTTTTTTCGCATTTTTTGCTGTTTCCATGGAAACGGCGGCCATCTTGAACCATTCCATACCAAGGTGCACAACTTAACATTTGGTTCCTCATTATAGTAAAGTTCCATCAACATTGGTCCATTAAATTCCGAGAAACACGACGGACAAAATGTGTGGAAGAAGAATAATAAAAACTAGATTTGAAATTGCAAGCAATAGCGGATGGCACCCTTCCCCCGTTGCCAGGTGAGTCGCAGCCATTTAGAAAATTCCAAAGACAAAGAGTGCATCTACACATGCAAATTATCCTTTTTGTAAAGGAGCATTTTGAAATTTTGGACATTTTTGCTGTATTCATGGTTTCGGCGGCCATTTTGAAAATTCCAACTTCAAAATGCAACTCTGCCCATGCCAGTTACCATTTCTGTAAAGTGTTATCCAGTTTGCAGCATTTTGATTTTTTTTTTAAATTTTGGACATTTTTGCTGTATCCATGGTTACAGTGGATAATTCCAAAATTCTAAAAGCAGACATCTCATTGCCACATGTCATGTTATATATCAATACAGTTTCATTGACTTTGGTAAATACTCTTTAAGAAAATGCTGATTTTATGCATTTTCCCATAGGGTCAATGTAAAACTTGCCCCATGTTTCCATGACAACGGCGGCCATTTTGGACTATCCAAATATTGTCTTGACATCTTAGCATAATGGGTAACATTTTCAGAAAGTTTCATCCAGTTGGGTTTATAACGAAAGAGTAAGAATTTTTGATATTTTAGCTGTTTCCATGGTTACGGCAGCCATTTTGAAAATTCCAAAGTCAAACTGCAAATCAGCACATGCCAGTTACCATTCCTGTGGAGTTTCTTCCAATTTGTAACACTTTGATTTTTTTCGCATTTTTGCTGTTTCCATGGAAACGGCGGCCATTTTTTACCATTCCATAGCAAGGTGCACAACTTTACATGGGGGTCCTCATTATAGTAGAGTTCCATCAACATTGGTCCATTGGATTCCAAGAACTCGCGCGGACAAAATGTGTGGAAGAAAAATAAGAAAAAAAAGAAACGTAGAATAACAGTATGTCACCCCAACTCCGTTGAGGGTGCCATAACTAGAATTGCCATTGCAAGCAATAGCGGATGTCACCCTGGTACGCCAATTGCCACTAAGTGGCAGCCATTCCGAAATTTCTTAACATTTGATTAACAAGTTCACTTCACAATTCATCATTCTGCTAATTTTCAGAAAGTTTAAAGCATTTTGATTTTTTTATGTTTGAACTGTTTCTATGGCAACGGCCGCCATTTTGATAATTCCAAAGATGGTTGGCAAGTCTTTGCATGCCAAGTAACATTTCCACAAAGTTTTCTTCATTTCGGATATAACATTCAATGTCTGTATAATTAATCTAAGACTAATGTTCTGGAATGTTCTATAAAAATTCACCCCCTTAAATTATGCCAAGGAGACCCCCTAGCTGAAATAAAAATGTTCCATGTTGAAGTGTACATGAGTCTCTTTATATCATAGGAGTTTCATATAATTTAGAACACATTTCTATTTTTCACATTTTTGCTGTTTCCATGGCAATGGCAGCCATTTTTTTAATTCCAAAGTCAGGTGCACAACTACACATGAGGATTAACATTATGCTAAAGTTCCATCAACATTGGTCCATTCAATTCCGAAAACTAAGCTGGACAAAAAATGTGGAATAAGAATAATAAATTAGATTTGCCATTGCAAGCAATAGCGGATGTCACCCTTCCCCCATTGTCACTAGATTGCAGCCAGTTTTTAAATTTTAAACAGTGAATGCACATATATATTGATGGCTATACATCTTTCTGTAATTTTTTAGAACATTTAGCGGATTTACAAATTTAACGCATAATTTTTCCTTTTTTGCCTTGTTTCCATGGTAACGGCAGCCATTTTGGAAATTCCAACGCCAATTGCTGCTTCCACACATGACAGTCAACATTATTGTGAAGTTTCATTAAGTTTGAAGCATTCTGAAATTTTTGAAATTTTTGCTCCTGTATCCATGGTAACATAGTAGTTCCAATGATTGTCAAAATCATTAAAAACCTGTATATAATGGACAACTATATTGTATAAAAATTTGATGATTTTAAGTTAAAGCGTACCAAAATTATTCACCAAACCCTGAAGTTTTTGGAGCATTTTGACCTTTTTGCATTGTTTCCATGGTAACGGCAGACATTTTGGAAATTCCAACGCCAAATTCCACATCTACCAATGTTGCTCATTGTTACTGTGAAGTTTCAAAAATTTTTGAGCATTTTGATATTTTTGAAATTTTTGTTTTTTAGTTTCCATGGCAACATAGTAGTTCCAATGATGGCCAAAATCATCCAAAAACCAGTATATAGTGGGCACCTACATGGTATTAAAATATAATGATTCTAAGTTTAAGCATCTCCAAATAATTCACCAAAACCAAAAACTGGATTTTTTCACATTTGTTCCGTTTCCATGGTAACGGCAGCCATTTTTAATGTTCTTAAGACCTACTGCAACCCGAAATTTTGTGTTCCTCATTATAGTTAACTATTATTAAGATTGGTTCCATTGGCTCCAAAAACACTGCAGGACAAAATTAGGTGGAAGAATAATAATAATTATAATAAAAAAAAGAAACGGAGGAAAAGCAATATGTCACCCGACATTGTCGATCGGGTGACAAAAAAAGAATCGAACAATAACAATATGTCACCCGACCTCCATCAGGGTGACATAGCTAGTAATCATGTGTAAGGATGCTAACACAAAAGTCGCCAAAACGGACCCCAATCATTTTTTCTGCGGTATCCATGGTAACGGCAGCCTTTTTGGAAATTCCAAAGTTAAATAGCACATCATCATATGCCAGTTAACATTTGTGTAAAGCTTCATTCAGTTTGAAGCATTTAAAAAAAATCACATTTTTGCAGTTTCCATTGTAACGGCGGTCATTTTGGAAATTTCAGAGTCAAATACCACTTCTACATATGCCAGTTAACATTTGTGTAAAGTTTTATTAAGTTTGAAGCAATTTTAAATGTTGCATATGGTGCTACCCATAATAATATACCATCATGTAACATTTTATGTCTCTAGAATTAATTCAACACTGATGTTCTAGAATGTTCCATGAAAATTCACCCCCCTCAAATTATGCCAAGGAGACCCCCAGCTGAAATAAAAAATGTTCCATGTTGAAGTGGACATGTGTCTCTAAATATTCATAGAAGTAATCATAATTATATCTACTCTACATACAGCAGCTAATTTAAGAAATGTTAAAAATTAGGCCCCTAATTATGCCAAGTGGACACCCTGGTATCATGAATTTTGGGTTCTGCAACCCTCATGATACAGACCCATACCCATAATAAATATAAAGTTTCCATCCTCTATAGCTTCCAAGAAAATGGTAGGACAGTTTAAGGGGTCAGAAAGAAAAGAATAAGAATATGGAGCATTTTGAAATTTTACACATATTTGCTGTTTCCATGGCAACGGCGGCCATTTTGGAAATTCCAAAGTCAAAAGTCTCATCTATACTTGCCAGTCAACATACATAATAAGTTTCAGTAACTTTGGAGCATTTTGAAATTTTGGACATTTTTGCTGTTTCCATGGTAACGGTGACCAATACCAAAATTTTAATGACAGGTACCCCATTGGTACATGAGAGGGAACATACCATTAAAGTTTCACTGAGTTTAACCTACCATATTAAGAGAGGAAATGCTACTTAAAGGTTTTTAGAAGGGTTTTTAGAGCATTTTGACCTTTTTTGTATTGTTTCCATGGTAACGGCAGCCATTTTTGAAATTCCAACGCCAAATACCACATTTGCAAATGTTGCTCATCATTACTGTGAAGTTTCATCAAGTTTGAAGCATTTTGAAATTTTTGATTTTTGTTGCTGCAGTTTCCATGGCGACATAGTAGTTCCGATCATTGTCAAAATCATCCAAAACCTGTATATAGTGGACAACTACATTGTATTAAAATTTGATGATTTTAAGTTTAAGCATACCCAAATAAATCACTAAACCCTAAATTTTTATTTTTTCACCTTTTTTCTGTTTCTTTGGTAATGGAGGCCATTTAAAAAATTCCAAAGGTGTCGTGCATAACTAGAGTTGGTGGTCCTCATTGTGGTACCCATTCAATAGAATTGGTCCATTAATCTATGAGAAAACGGGCGGACAAAAAAAGGTGGAATAATAATAATAATAACTTGATTTGCCATTGCAAGCAATAACGGATGGCACCCTTCCCCCATTGCCAGGCGAGCGGCAGCCATTTAGAAAATTCCAAAGTCAAAGAGTTCATTTACACATGCAAATTATCATTTTTGTTAAGTTTCATTTAGTTTGGAGCATTTTGAAATTTTGGACATTTTTGCTGTTTCCATGGTTACGGCAGCCATTTTGAAAATTCCAACCTCAAAATGCAACTCTGCCCATGCCAGTTACTATTTCTGTATAGTTTCATTCAGTTTGCAGCATTTTGATTTTTTTTTGAAATTTTGGACATTTTTGCTGTATCCATGGTTACAGTGGATAATTCCAAAATTCTAAAAGCAGACATCTCATTGCCACATGTCATGTTATATATCAGTACAGTTTCATTGACTTTGGTGAAATACTCTTTTAAGAAAATGCTGATTTTATGCATTTTCCCATAGGGTCAATGTAAAACTTGCCCCCAGTTTCCATGACAACGGCGACCATTTTGGACTATCCAAATATTGTCTTGACATCTTGGCATACTGGGTAACTTTTTCATAAAGTTTCATCCAGTTGGGTCTTATAACGAAAGAGTTAGAATTTTTTATATTTCAGCTGTTTCCATGGTAACGGCAGCCATTTTGAAAATTCCGAAGTCAAACTGCAAATCAGCACATGCCAGTTACCATTCCTGTGGAGTTTCTTCCAGATTGGAACACTTTGATTTTTTTCGCATTTTTGCTGTTTCCATGGAAACGGCGGCCATTTTTTACCATTCCATAGCAAGGTGCAAAACTTTACATGGGGGTCCTCATTATAGTAGAGTTCCATCAACATTGGTCCATTGGATTCCAAGAACTCGCGCGGACAAAATGTGTGGAACAAAAATAAGAAAAAAAAGAAACGTAGAATAACAGTATGTCACCCCAACTCTGTTGAGGGTGCCATAATTATAATAATAAAGAAACGGAGGAAAAGCAATATGTCACCCGACATTGTCGCACGGGTGACATAATAAGAAACGGGACAAACACATAAAGTCTCCAAAACTCCGTTTTGGCGACTTAACTAGTAATCCTGTGTTAGGATGCTAACACAAAAGTCGCCAAAACGGACCCAAAATCATTGTTCTGCGAAATCAATGGTTTCATTATATGCTAGGCAACATTTGTTTTAAGTTTCATTAAATTTGAAACATTTTGAAGTTTTTCATATGTTAGCCGTTTCCATGGTAACGGCGGCCATTTTAGAAATTCCAAACTCAAAAGTCAAGTCTACATAAGCTAGGCAACATTTGTTTTAAGTTTCATTAAATTTGAAGCATTTTGAAGTTTTTCATATTTTTGCTGTTTCCATGGCAACGGCGGCCATTTTATAAATTCCAAAGTCAAACTGCAGCTGCAATTTGTTCTCTCCTTAATTATATACCATCATATACCATTTAATGTCTCTAGAATAAATTTAACATTGATGTTCTGGAATATTCCATGAAAATTCACCCCCTAAAATTATGCCAAGGAGACCCCTACTGAAATAAAAAAAGTTCCATGTTGAAGTAGACATGTGTCTCTTAATATTCATAAAAGTAATCATAATTCCATCTACTCTACATACAGTAGCAAATTTAAGAAATGTAAAATAAATTTGACCCCACCCATCTTTGAGCCCCCTAATTATGCCCAGATGACACCCTGGTATCATGAACATTGGGTTCTGCAACCCTCATGATGAAGACCCATACCCAGAAAAAATATAAAGTTTCCATCCTCTATAGCTTCCAAGAAAATGGTAGGACAGTTTAAGGGTTTAGAAAAAGAAGAATAAGAACTAGAATTGCCACTGCAAGCAATAGCGGATGTCACCCTGGTTCCCCAATTGCCACTAAACGGCAGCCATTTCGAAATTTTTCCATCAGTGAATGCAGATATATGCATTACAACAGATCTTTCTGTCGGTTTTCATAGCGTAAAGTACGTTTTTTCAATTTTCAACAATTGTGCTGTTTCCATGGCAACGACGGCCATTTTGAAAATTCAAAATCTACATTTATGTATGATGTTTAACATTTTTGTAAAGTTTTATGAAGTTTTGAGCATTTTGATATTTTTGCCTTGTTTCCATGGTAACGGCAGCCATTTTGGAAATTCCAAAGTGAAATGCCACATCTAGATTTGCCAGTCAACTGTTCTGTAAAGTAACATACATTTTTAAAGAATTTTGAAAATTTTGATATTTTTGATCAGTTTCCATGGCAACATTGTAGATCTTGTAGATTCCCAAAATCATCCAAAACATGTATATAGAAGACAGCTACAATGTGTAAAAATTTGATGATCCAATATTCAGGCATACTCAAATTATCCACTAAAAACTAAAATCTCATTTTTTCACTCTTTTACTGTTACCATGGTAACAGTGGCCATCTTGGAAGTGCCAATTCTCACTGCACTTATGGCAATGGTGGTTAACATTATTGTATAGTTCCATTACAATTGGTCTATACGATTCCGAGAAATAGTATGGACAAAATGTGTGGAATAATAATAAAAATAATAAAAAAAAGAATCGTACAATAACAATATGTCACCCGACCTCCGTCAGGGTGACATAATAATAATAAGAAGAAACGGGACAAAAACAATAAGTCTCCAAAACTCCGTTTTGGGCACTTAACTAGATTTGCCATTGCAAGCAATAGCGGATGGCACCCTTCCCACATTGCCACTAAACTGCAGCCATTTTGAAAATAAAAAACAGTCAAAGCACTTAAATGCATTACAACAAATTTGTCTGTAAATTTTCGGAAAATTTGTAACATTTTTATTTTTTATTATTTTTTCAGTTTCCATGGCAACGACGGCCATTTTGGAAATTCCGAAGTCCAAAGTCTTATCTGCAATTGTCAGTTACCATTTATTATAAGTTTCATTTAGCTTAGACCATTTTGAAATTTTTGGATATTTTTGCTGTTTCCATGGTTCAATGTCCATTTCGAAAATACCAACAACAGTTGCAACATTGACTTATGTCATGTTATATATTCATGATGTTTCTTTGAGTTTGATCTTATATTCCTTTAGAAAATGCTGGTTTTATGTTTTTTCCCATAGGGTCAATATCAAACCTTTCTCCAATTTCCATGGCAATGGCAGCCTTTTTGAAAATTCGAAGTATTGTTGGTACCTCAGGGCATCACTGCCAACATTTACATAAACTTTCAAGAGATTGCCTCTTATAACGAAAGATTTAGAATTTGCATTTTTTTTCACATTTTTTCAGTTTCCATGGCAACGGCAGCCATCTTGATGATGCCATACCCCGATTGCACAATTTTATATAGTGGTCTACATTATGGTATAGTTCCATCAATATTGTTCAAGCCAATTCTGAGAAACAGCATGGACAAAAAAGTGTGGAAGAATAAATATAATAATAAGAAAAAAAGAAACGAACAATAACAATATGTCACCCCAACTCCGTTGAGGGTGCCATAACTAGATTTGCCATTGCAAGCAA